TTCAATAACTCCATCGGGTTCGTTAATGAGAATTTTGGTGCGGCTTCACCTTGTTCTAGATCCTTATCTTCGTCGTCTTCCTCCCCATTCGGACGCTCGCTTTTCTCGAGTTCTTTTTGCTTGCGTTTCACCTCTTCAAGACGCTTAGCCTCTCTGCTTTCACGTACTAACGTGCCCCAGTCATTCAAGCCAACGCACGAGAGTGCTGTTCCAATCAACGAGTAAGCATCGAATATCTTTGACACAAAAGGTATCATTTTGAATGCTGTCATAACCGCGTAAGTAAAACTAAACGGAAATATGAAAATGTACGCACCGAATGCAAGCGGTATCGCAACAACCATTAGAACCGGAAAGAGTAACGCAACAGTCAATGTTATCAGATAGGGCGCCCAGTTTTTTTGGCGTAGTTTTTGTCGTATCCAAGAGGTGGAATAATATGCGAACAAAAAAGTGATGACAAATGGTGACAAATAAGCAAATGCTGGTAAAACAATTGGTGCAATCATGAACAGAATACATCCTTCGGTGACTATAAAGAATCTCGGCAAATAACTTATCTTCCACACATCCAACCAACCAACTTTACATCCATGCAAAGCAAAATGTTGATAGGAATTTATCGGTTCATTGCAATTCCAGCAAAATTTTTGCAAGCATCTCAAATTCACACATTCCACATAACGACACCCGTCGTATTCAGCATACATTGACTTGCAGAGAGGACATCGTTTCGTTTGACCACCGAATGCGTATTCAATTGATTGTTTACGATGTTTGTAAAGAAGTAGTTCACGTTCACTGCACGGCATGTACGCATTCAGATCCTCGTTACTAGCGTCCAGCAGTGCATCGATATCGTTCTCGTGTATTCGCACTGGACACGATCGTTCCGCGCATTTGATACGTGCCTTGTGCTGTGTACCAATCCAGTATTTTAGATGTACTATTGCACACGCTACACATAACCTGTGCTGGCATTGTCGTAGTTCTATACGCCATACATCTTGTCGACGACAACGAACACAGTACGGAGGTATGGGTGCTTCGCCTGGCATTATTATTATTATATTGTCGTATGTTCAC